CTCCTTGAGGACCCCTGTGCACTCATCCAAACACTACATGTTGTGTACATTTGTTTTCCTGTGCATCAAACTGTGTTTGCTTCTGCTGGGTGGATATCCAGAGAGTCTCATTTTGTTTATGTCTTTATTTTCTGCCAACAAAAATAGGTTTCCTGATCTCCTGTGTGTGTTTTTTTTTGTCCTGGTAAATGGGGCCCTGCCCTGTAGTAGGCTCCTTTTGTAGTGCACACATTATTGTTCATCGTACAATGACAGACACCTATGTGGACGCCTGCACACATCGTCGCTTCTTGTTTATAGACTTACAGGCACAGAGGCGTGTTCCAGGCTTAACAGCGTTGGTGGGATAAGTAAAGGCCCAGGCAAAAAAAAAAAAGAAAAAAAACCTTCCCGCCATTCAACCGCCACACACTTTGCTCCACCGCTCGGCTGGAGAAAAAAAAAAAAAAAGAGAAATAAAATAGAGTGACCCTGCCACTAGCAGCTCTCTTTTTTCCCCCCGCTGTTCTCTTCTTCCTCCCCCTAGCCGTGTGAAATCAAATTTCCATGTGGCTCCCGTATCTGTTGCACAGCGAGGTGATTTATCAGGGATGCAAAGAGCATGCAGAAACAATCTTTATTACATCCATTTCCTGCTTGTCAGCCGGGATCATGTTGGCTGTTCATTAAAGGCGCGGCGCAGGTGAGGAGAATGCATCCCGATGCCTTGATAGATTGTCTGCTCCCCTGTGGTGACAGCAGCTGGATGGATTGAACAGTGGCGGGCACGGAGGGTGGAGAGAAAAGCGCTGACTCCGTCGCTCTCCCTGTCAGACACACTTTTACATACTGGCCAGTGTCATTTCTACCAAACGGCCGCACGCGCACACTTCTGACACTCGTTGGACCCGAGCCAGGAGCCACGGACGCGTAAACAATGTGAGCACGATCTAAAAATAAGGAGAAGAATGAAAAAGAACTGCCTGATAAACTCCTGTGAGGATAGAATATATACACTGGGAATTATTTTATTTATTTTTTAAGAGATTTAAAACATATTAATTATAATAACAGCAAAGAATTACACCTACATAACAGGTACTTCTGAGTGACATAGAGACATATTTGTTTGTTTCCCAATACTGTCAATGGCTTTGTTGCTTGGAGGCAAAAGATAATCATGCTCTTAGTGCGCCTCAGTGGCCTTTTTCAAATGTGGAGTGATTAGGGAAATTATGGCCCGTTTTGTTTACGCTGCATAGCGAAAATGCGGCCGGTTTGTGCTCAGGTTCTAGTAACAATAATATGAAGCCTACGGTCCCTGCAGCCGTGTGGAGCACGCACAAATCACTACCATGCAGTTGCTTCAGTAGGAATCAATTAAAAGCCAACGCTGTTCTTTTCACCTACAATTTTAAAAGATTGACGTTTTTTAGTAATGCATGGTGAGTATTTTGGATTATTAATAATTCCAATACGGTGATAATGGCAATTGAAACTTTAATCCAGTTTGGTTAAAAACTAAATAAATGCTAAATGAATTTTCTTTTGAAATGCAAGGTTTGTGTAGGACGCGGACATTCCGCATGAGCAGACCGCAGATTAAATGCTTTTCATGCAGTAAACACACCTCATTAAGTCAATAAGCTGAGACTGTAGCGTCTCAAAAGAATATAGCTCTGCCTCTTACAGCAGCGACGTAAGCCTTCATAATCAGCCATAAAATGTTTTATCACACCTCCTACATCAACAGACAAACAAACATAGTGTGACAACATACAGTAAATACAGCTTTACATCGGCGCGGTGCTCACATTATTCCTACAGTGGAGTGCTTTCCAAGGTAAAACTATAAAACCATCACACCATCTTCCCCCTACAGTATTTCCTCGGACATAAAAATGAAAGAAGTGGCACAATGTTTTGTACAGCGCAGTAAAGTAGAGGGAAGACTTGCCTCAAATGGATGTTTACCTGCATTCGACATGCTATGGCAACAGTGCTCATATTTAAAAAAAAGAATTCTTGCAAGCATTTTCTTGCTTTTTGGAGTCATGAAACTGTCCTGCATGGTGGGAATCTTCCCTCTCTTCTTTGTGTACTTTGCATCTCTTTTTCCTTCTCCCTCACTTTCCCAGTCTAATTTGCGTCTTGTGCCTCTCTGTGTACCAATGACATGTAATGACAATGGCGTGAGCGCCGATCAATACTGTAGTGCCTTGGGGCCGGCCGGGCCAGGAGGGGCCATTGATAGCAGGGGTGGCGGTGGTGCGGGAGGAGGGTGGGGCGGGGTGTGGGTGTGGGGGCTGGATGCCATTTCACTAATGAGTCTATATATTTAACCTCAGTCACGGCTACTTTATGTTTGTGTGTGCCGTATGTGTCAGTGGAAGTTACAACGGGCCCAAGAGCACGCTAGCTACCAGTTGTGAAGCGCATGCATATCAGCTCACCGCCTTGTCACGTGACCAAACAGAGACTTGGCATTGGACGACATCAACATACACGTAGCATTGACTTTGTTTTTGCCACCGGCTATGTTACCTCTCTTTATTCCTGCCATGAACGGGTCCTGAGGCCTCACCAATCAAAGCCTGTTCTAAAGACGTGTCCATATGGACAACAAAGTTGCTATTCATCAAACATGTGTACGCACACATTTACATAATGAACAAAGATGAATAGCAAACGTTCCACATTAATCTGCTCGTGCACGTACGGGCTAGGTTGCAAAAAGAGACACTCCAGAAATGCCTCATATTATCAACCACATCCCTTTTCAAAGTATTAGAAAGGAAAGAGATGGCATCACATGTTTTTGTTATTTGTCCAGCCAACTCTCCAAAGATATTTAATCTACTGTGCTGCTGAAAAAATTCTCAAATTTAACAGCCTGAAGCGGTTACATTTCTCTTACTTTTCCCTGAAAAATTACTTGCCAATTCCTGGATCCACATATCATTGTAGCTCGGCTTCCTCCCTTGTTACATAGTTACCGTTGTTAGGCAGCGAGTGATAGAGCGAGCACAACTGGTCAGGGTCTCGGGGCTGCGTGCACGGGAGGGTGACGCGTCGCTGGTACCTTACAAACGTGCCACACCATCAATCAAACGCGTATGATGAGTCAAACACAAACTGAAATCCTGCTCAGCTAAACAGCTTCGTTTCACACTTCCACCAATTACACTGCCAATTTGCTTTTCTTCTTCCACTGTTTAAACTTCTTTAGAATTACAGAAAATGTGGCTGGTTTGGTTCAATTATGTTTGCACGCTGAAATGTCATTCAGTGATAATCTATCAGGTGCTCGGTGAGGCGTCACTGGAACATCAGGAGGAAGTAGAGATGTTAATGGTATATATTGCTCTGAATACATTTATACCAATGAGGCCCTTCGATTGTGTTGTGTAAAGTTCCTGCTGAAGTCCACTATGTGCAGTAAAATAATTAATGTAATCAATTATAGAAGGTTGTAGAATGTGATCCAATGCTCGCAGAGGGCCGAACTCCAATTACATTACCTCTAACAACAGAGGGATTGGATTGAAGGGTGGAGTAAGGTGGGGGCTTTGACTCAAAGCAAAATAATTTATTTCATTGTGATATTAAAATCAATAGGCATCGATTGAAAGGTGGCTAAAGGTGAACGTGTACACAATCCTTCAGCTGTGAGAGGCAGACGTCTGACAGGAGGAACCGAGGAAGAATGGTGGGGATGGGGGGGGGGGGGGGAGGAGGCGCGTTGGCCAGAGGAAGGAGTCACTCTAGTTAACAAAGAGGGAACAGGAAAGAGGGAACGACCACGGAAATGAAAGAAAGAGATGGAGAGAGAAGGAGAACGGGTGAGGGAGCTCTTGCCTGGTGCAATCAATACAGAGAGGTGGAGCAGAGTACAATAGCCTCCGAGGAGAGGGGATTCAGTGGTGCAAGTCGAATACTCTGTCTTATGCACACACATTATAATACATGCTCGCCTCCTCTCTGAATCCTTTTTACTCTTGCTTTCGTCTGACATTTCCCTCTATATTTCCATCCTCTATTTAATTTCTTCGTCTTGTTCTCTGGCTGGCTTGCTCACTCTGTATCCGCCCTCCACCCCTCGCCGCCACACACACACACACGCACACACACACACACACACAGACACACACACAACGAGTAGCTGTCTGTAAGCGGAGGGATGCACAGCGAATAGAAGACCTTCTGTCCACAGCGCTCCACCATAATAGCAGCGGCTTACATCAAAAATCAGACAGCAAAGTAACAATCAACACATATTCAAGCAAGGAGAGGCATGGACGCAAGAGGACAAAAGATACAAAGAAAAAAACACACACATCCGGGCAAATACTGGGCCATATCTTGGAATAGCGTCACGTCTATAGGACATTTTCTCCACTTCCACACATACTGCTGAGTCAGAGCCACTTGGTGCATCCAAGTACAAAAGTGTCACATGAACACTTTTAACACACACTTCGCAAACAGTACACTCCAATGCTACTCCAGCTCTATCAGCACTTGAGACTAGTGAGGCTTCAATTAGTTCTTGATGAATGAGCCCATAAGATGCCGCTCTCTCATTTCCCTTGTTGCCAGATATCCCGGCAATCAGAGAGGAATGAATTCTCATTGTGGCGTGACTGACGCGAAGATGACGGTGGTGGTGGTGGAATGTGGGGGGGAGGTGGGCAGAAACATAAATCAATCACCCACTCTCGACTGAGGGTCTGAGTCGGGTTCAATCACACCAATCATGAGTCTCTGCCATCCTAAAATCTATTTGAATAGCAACAAATGTGTTACGCTGATATGTGAACTTTCCACATATTCTTGATGTCGTCTCTCGGGCTTTTTGTGCTGAGCAGATAGGTGTGTGTGGTGAAAAGGATGCTAGTAGGTGCTCAACCAGAGAAGAAAGAACCCTCCATTAGATCCTGCTACATGCCAAGATTTGCTGTTTGTAAAGGCGAAGCATCGTGTAGCTTTGTAAGACGTGTTGCAGTGAAGGTCGGACTCACCATCGTCGACGATGCTGACCACTACTCCGTCACCGGTGATGGTGTTCTTCCAAACCGGCATCACATTAAGGTCAAACCCACTGAAGCTGTACTCGCCCTGTGCAAGCTGAAAAGACAGAGACACACACACACACCATTTTTATCACAATTATCAGATATTTAGTGTTATAAATAACCCAAAATGCATTGCTCACTAACAGTAAGTATAAGAGCACTGACTGCAAAGCCAGCCGTTTGCAGGATTTTTGTCTTTGTTTTTGTTTTAATTTGCACCGGTTTGTAAGTTGTTGTTGAACTGAGGTTGTATTCATACATATACACACATAATCCAGTGACACATCCCTGCATGTAATTGTACTTTCTGCCCGCTCGTCCCTGTAGAGCCTTCGTCTGCATCATCCTGCTCTTCTTTGTTAGTGTGTGCCTGGAATTTCTAACGCCCCCCCGCACCCCCCCCCTTCCCTCCTCTTTCCCATGACTCGTCCTATGGATGCTACTGCGGCGTCCTTCCCCTGAAAGAAAGGATTACGGTGACATCGGTGTGCTTGAATGCTAAATTAACAACACGCGTTGCATTCCTCTGCGGCGTGTTGCGTCACTGCTCGGTGCCGATAGGAAGACTATGGAGGAGACCTTCAGGGAATGATTCTGCTGTGGGAAATTATATAAAAGCTTGTGTTCCTCCTGAATTGAGCGATTACACTTATGCCGTGTTGATGACGACGTTGTTGATAAAAGAGACATATCTACCAATTAAGTAAAGCACCTGTTGAGAAACGTATATTCACAGTTTTGCTGCTGCATCTACTGTCGTATCCTGCGTGTTCATTTCCAGAACAAAGCAGGTCTTAATCCAAAAAACCTCTGTTCATATTCAATATCTCATTGTTTAAAAAATGAGCTCATAAGGATCCATTTCCCATCAGAGGAGAGATGTGGTTTTCTTGTGGTGTACAGAGAATCTGCAATGTGTGTGCATGAATGGACATGCAGACACAAGTTAAACACATGTTTATGTGAGACAAGATGCGCACATCCTTGTGCAGGATTGCACTTGGACAGTTTGTGTTTTCGTATTGACCACAAGAAACCATCAGAGTTCATGGAGAGAGTCACAGAAACCGATATTTCATCCTTGCACACCCAAACTGCAAACAAACAAAAAAACATTAAAAAAAAGAGAGAACTCCCATGAGCACAAGCGTAACATTCACTTGAACACCATCCTACAAAAAGAAACACACACAAACACTGTACCTACGCAACTTGAAATAGTCCGCCGTGAACACAAACTGCCCAATTACAAAGAACACAATAGGCGCACTTGCACACAAATAATCACACACCCATAAAAGCAATGAACTGTCTTCAAAAATGTCAGCAGCTGCCGACACACACACACACACACACACACACACACACACACACACACACACACACACGACCAATTTAATATTCAAAGTGAGTTTCAGGAGGCTCCATGGGGAAAGAAACCTGCTCAGTGGGGGATAAGTAGTGTGTGTGTGTGTGTGTGTGTGTAGCTGCAGAGCAGCAGTGCACCTGGGAATCATTTCATGTTCACCACTAGCAAACATTTGGGAAATCCACTATGTTTTGAATCCTGGCGATTGTGTCTAAAAGAAGATTTGTGTCTTCATTTTAGAAAATAAGGGGCCCTGCACGTGTGGTAATGTTAAAGTTCTCTCACACTGTCGTTTTTACAGAGAATGAAGGTACATGCAGAAATGCAGAAATGTCTAGTATTTTGAAATGTATAAAAGTAATCGTGAATCGTGATAATGCATTGATCTTGTATTGGCCTCTCTTTAGTTGTGTGTTGTCTGGCGGACATCTGCCCCGGGGCCTCTTAGCAGTTGGACAAGCCCACAATATCTCTAACAGGAGAGACATCAGATGCCTGCATCACCTCAGCCGGCCCCTTTGGACCATTCGGATCAATATCATTTCAACATGGCAACCTGCAGACTTTCTGAATTGCCAGAACTTCTTGGAGGCCGGACCAAAGTCTTCGTGTTTGGAGCACAGACAGCAGTCAACAATTGTGAAAGAGGGCAGTTCAGCCCCACTGGGGGAGTTTGGTTCCAGAAGCAGTTTGATGCATGGAGGTGAGCCCGACTGAACCTGTTCCCGACTGAGCACCAAGTGTCAAGATTTAGCCCCCAGACCTTCGTCAAGGATGTAGGAAAATACTGCGGGCAGTCAAATAACAAATGACTACAGTTACAAAATTAAATTGTTCAAAATCAAAGGGAGTCAAAGTCACAAAGGGATGTATAAATATACCTGTGAAAGGAGAAAAGTGTTGATTTATTTACTATTTGTACTATTTCAGTCTTTAGACTGTTTCAATGTAGCAGTCTCTTGATATAGATTTATAAATGTATTTATAAAATGAATTTATATTAGAACATTTTTTATATATATATATATACGGTATATCTTTTTAGAAGAACAATAGTCACCTGATGGTAGTTTATAAATGTATGTACGTGAGTGTATCTATTGAGCATGAGCGTCCGCGTGTCCATTTGTGCCTGCAGTGTGAGAATAAAGCAGATGAATAGAGACAGCTAGCGAGCTAATGGTCACTATAGCACAAGGACCGGCCCTGCGCATGGATAAACACACACACACACACACACACACACACGGCAAAAACAAAAGATACACTTTTGTGAACTTTGCTATACAGCGGGAGAGAACAAGTATTTGATACACTGCCGATCTTGCAGGTTTTCCCACTTACAAAGCATGTAGGAGTCTGTCATTTTTATCATACTCTTCAACTGAGGGTGACGGAATCTAAAACAAATCCAGAAAAATTACATTGTGATTTTTTTTTAAATGATTTTGCAGTTTATTGCATGACATACTCCTCATGCTCCTACATGCTTTGTAAGTGGGAAAACCTGCAAAATCTTGAGAGCACACAAACACACAACTTCACTTTTTCCATGTTTTGTTACAGACTTATTCCAAAACAAATTCATCAAAATTCTACACACAACACCCCACAATGACAAAGGGAAACAGGGTTTGCAGAGATTTTTGCAAATCTATTAAAATAAAGAACGCAAGTGTAACATGTAGATAAGTATCCGCAGCCTTTGCCATCACACTCCAAATAGAGCCTCCTGTTTCCACGGAGCATCCTCGAGATGTTATGGGACCCTGCTATATTCAGTTGGTTGGACACCATGATTTCCATCATCCGTAAATGGAAGAAGTTGGGAACCACCAGGACTCTGTTGGCCACAGAGCCAAACTGAGCGATCGGGGGAGAAGGGTCTTAGTCGGGGAGGTGACTCTGACAGCGCTCCAGCGTTGCTCTGTGAAGAGAGGAGAACCTTCCAGGAGGACAACCATCTCTGCAGCACTCCACCCAGACGGAAGCCACTCCTCGGTAAAAAGCACATGACAGACTGCCGTTTGCCAAAAGGCACCTGGAGGACTGTCAGACCACGAGAAACAACATTCTCTGGTCTGATGAAACAAAGGTTGAGCTCGTTGGCCGGAACGCCAAGCGTCATGTCTGCAGGAAACCAGGCCAGTACCCCCATCACAACCTCCACCTTCATCTTTCGACAGGACAACGACCCAAAGCACACAGCCAAGACAACAAAAGCAGTGACGACTCTGAACGTCCTCGAGTGGCTGGCTGAACATCTCTGGAGAGATCTGAAAGTGGCCGTGCACAGACGCTCCCCATCATAGCTGATGGAACCTGATGGAACCAGATGGAACCTGAATGGGAGAAACTGTCCAGAAACAGGTGTGCCGAGCTCGTAGCATCATATTCAAGAGGACTTTAAGCGCTGCCAAAGGGGCTTCAACAAAGTACTGAGCAAAGGCTGTGGATAGACATTTTGATTAAGGTTTTTTCACTTTATCATTATGGGATGTTGTGTGTAAAACTTGGAGGAAAAAAAAAAAATTGAATCCATAATAAAATAAGGCAGTGACATAACAAAATGTGGAAGAAGTGAAGCCCTGTGAATGCTTTCCACATGCACTGCATGTGCTCTCTCTCACACTCACACACACACACACGTACATTAAAAAAAGAATAGACACACACAGATCAACAACAAAACAAAGCTTCCCCTCAGCTACACAACACAACTTTATTGATTGTTCATGGATCACATTATGATGCATGGGCTTTTTATAAGAAACACTAAACAGGTTAAGCAATAAAGCCAACCCTACCTATATTGCTGAGTATTTAATTGAACAATGAAAAATAAACATAGAAAAATTTACTTCATTTCTATTCTATCTCACACACACACACACACACACACACACACACACACACACACACACACACACACACACACACACACACACACACACACACACACACACACGGTTTTAATGCACAGAAAGCACGTCCAGGATGGTGTATGGATTTCAGCAGCTTTGAACAAGCTCCTCTGGATTCAGCCTAAGCAAAGATACAATGCAGTCAACCTGCCTTGTGTGTGCGTGATTGTGCACACTCCTCACCTACGATGTACACACCAGCTTGTAGCAAACATACACACAACACTACGTCACACGCACACGTCTGGTCCTGGCAGGCTACCAACCTTGAGCAGATTAGTGACCCTCAATCAATATCCACATCCACCAGGGGCTGATAAAACACAACGGAATGAGAGCAGGGGAGGAGGGCGAGAGAGAGAGAGAGAGAGAGAGAGAGAAACAACTTAAACGATTTACATTTTCGTTCTATTGTTTAATTAGGTACTCAAGCGATATAAGTGGGGCTGGCTTTATTGCGTAACCGGTCTTTTGTGTTGCACTCTTAACAGAACACGTTAGGGTTGTGTCCGATATAACATCCCTCCTCCGCTCTACCTCCATCTATGCCTCCACCACTCTCCGCCCCCATCCCGACTCCACCATCATGCCTCAGGCGCTGACGTGTCAATCAATCGGTTGCCCGTTGCCGTGGCAAATCTCTGACCCCGCCTCTCCTCCTCCTGGCTCTTGTCAAGTCGCATCCGCCGTGTTGATTGGCCGAGCACTGACGGCCTGCTATGAAAGGCGTGCGCGAGTTTACGTTGTGGCAAAATCACACCACTAAATAGAATATAAGTACCAAATATATGGTAATAGTTATTGAAGTTTCTGTGTGAAAAAAACACAGTTGTACTATTACCCAACAAATCTTGGGTGGGAAAACAATGTCCGATTACATGCTTTGAACAAGCATTGAGAAAGGTATGGTCGGCCAACTATTGCGAAGATCCCTTAGGAAATGTGTGCAGGAGAGAACCCGAAGCTGCTAAGTAACAAACGCAACAGGGGATTCATTGGTCGTCATTGTTGTGTATTAAGCAAAAGGATTAAGAAGAAAAAACAACAACGAATCAGGTATCACAAGCATTCAAAAAACACCCGGTCTGCATGAACGTGCTACATTCGAACAAAATGATCTTCAGGATAAGCCTGCTGTACAACGACAAAATGATGAATCATCTCATTTTCAAATGATCTCACCAGGAAGAGTCAACAAAAAAGAAAGGTAAACGTAAAGTAATATTTTGTGCAACAATTTTACTACAACAACTTTTTTGTACCCAAACATACTGGTTTTGTACGGCTGTTGTTCTGCACTGACACATCTTTCCAAACCTGGTGGACAAGATCCCGCTGAAGCGATGAGCTCGTCTTGTTTCAGCACAGTTTGTGTGTCAGTGTTGCTCCGAGGCTCATCACTCCCCGACATCTGTCTCAGTTCAACGTGGACAACCCCGTTCACCTCCTCGCTCTCCCTTCTCACCCCCTTTTTCCCCTTTCCTCCGTAATCTGTGTACCTCCTCTCTCCTCGGCCTCTCCCTCCAGTCACACATGAAAGCCTGCCTGACTTATGCCTGTCAGAGGCACATCCTTCACTACCAGGACGAGCGCCGGGAGGAGAGAGGAAGCGCCTGGATAACACCAATGAACTCAAAAACACACACAGACACACAATTAAACCCACCAGTTCCCACTGCATGGGCCAGAGCGGGTCATTGAAGGTGAGGGACTGGTCACTCTTATTCTCCTCAGGCTGCCTGTCGGATGCAGACTCTCCCCTCTGGAAACCTGCAAGCACACAGACCCATCATGTGTGTGTGTGTGTTTTGAACTCTGACATCAGGAAGTCCCTGGTCTCCAACCAATGGTGGAAGGCCTCCCAGACTCCCCTTTCTCTCCTGTGAGGTGGAATACTGTTGGCGGATTAGCATAGCATTAGCATGTCATTAACATGTCATTACGGCGCCACAGCTTGGCTCGCTGTCTGTTGATGTGATATCAGCTCATCAAGGCCTGCACCTTTCTCTGCATACACTACATGCACATTCATCGGCACTTTGTCTCACACTTTCTTCACAGTTTCACCTTTGCACAGCACTCTATATTGCTGCTGCCTCGCACTCTGGACACGATGGATATGAATCAGCTTGTTTCACGGTTTACTGTATGAGTGGCGATTTGAATTATTATTATACTTGTTGGTAATGAGAATCCCACATTCCTGAAATGACTGCAATACAACATTGCGCACGAACATGCAAGCATTAGTATTAATTAGCGGTGAAATGGAACATCTATTGATCCAAAAACATTTGAGTCGGTGTGCAACTTTCTGCAGTTCATAACTCATGAATCAAGTAGATACTTTCACATTGGCCCATTACACTTAATTTTCTTTTTATTACACGCCTTAGCATGTTAACAACGTACATTTTACGCATGAGTCCCCAGGCGTTTAACTCCTATACGGAGTGCTGTCAGTACCTCATACAAAAACATTTCGGATTTTCATTTCAACTCCCTCTAACTTCACGTGCAAGTTCTGCGCTTCAGATAAGTGTGTGTAAATGACCAGCGTAAACATGATAGAATGCCACCTCGGAGTAAATCAGCGCTTCTTCAGGACAGTTGTGAATTTATGTAATGAACGGCTCAGTAATGAGGCTACACGTCCTGCCCTATAGGTCCCATATTGAAGTCTTTCCTTCTTCGCAGCGTCAGCAGTAGAATTCAGGGGCCTCCTGTTAATACCGTGTCACCTGAGGGGTCACTGCAATAAATAAGACCTTTATCCAAAGAAAAATCTTTCTCCAAAGCAAGGCCATCAATGACCGAGGTTCATGGTCGTTTTGCACTTTGTGCAGATGTCAATATTGATTTTGTCGATAAGTGTTTGTTATACAACAGAATCGATAGACAATTTGAATTCATTTTGATATTGTTAGATCGAATGAAAGCACTTAAACTATATCAGCCTATAGTTTCATTTGCAGTCAAACAAGCTAATAAAAATAATTATGAAGGGATTTCAAACTCAAAATAGCTTGAAAAAGTGAAATAAGCCAAGTGAACGCTTAGGCTAAGCTAACTGCAGACTGTGCATGACTCTTAAGACCGGTTTGGAAAACTCATAATTTGCGTTTGCACGTTTCTGCAGTTCCAACCACTGGGGAGTCAGACAGCAGGCTGTTAAACACAAATGTGAATACTTTGGATTGGAAGCAATTTGCAAAGGGCTTCAAGGCCCTGGAGGTCAGCAAAATCAGTACTGAAAGCCGGTAAAACAACTTTAAAAACTTACTGTGAGTGAATTTGAAGTCCAGTCCTTCCACAGGAACCCGCTTGTCTCTGTAATGACTGTGCTGCCTCGTCACCTGATGAACCTGGCAATCACACCACAGAAATGCTAAATATGAAATAATGCAGAGTGTGGTAAGTCACTAGAACATTAACACATTTAACTGGGTTTCCCTTCTGTAAGTGTAGTGTCCACACCGTGGCTTTTGTCCAGCTACTACTACTACTACTACTACTAGTACTATCTCTAACAGTCTTCAGCAATTTGTGAAGTCTTCTTACGTCTTCGATTCATGTGAATAAAAGCAAAACATTGAGAAACACGGAGCAAATGGCGTGTATTTGTTCTATGTTTGGTTTTGTTCTGGTCCAGAAGAGAGGGAGAACCCACTGCACAGAGAGAGAGCGAGAGCGAGAGAGAGAGAGAGAGGAGAGAGAGAGAGAGAGAGAGAGAGAGAGAGAATGGTGTCTTTATGGAGGAGAGTGAAAGGTTTCCTCTTCATTAGTTCAAAGAGGACTCGCTCGCTCTCTCCATTGCGCTCCCATTGTCCTGGGTTAAAAGCAACGAAAACACCCCCACCTCACCTGCACCTCTGTCCTCTCCAACGCACACACACACACACACACACACACACACACATAGACACACACGGACCATTCCAGTCACAGGCTGCGGCTTTGATCTGATAAGAGGCTGGTCCTTGTGAAGGTGGGCGCACTAAATCAAACAGCGGATCACGTACACACACGCACACCAAACGCACACATATCAGTGTCAGGCCGCTATTGTCCTCTTACACTTAAATCAGAGTGGAAGAGGTTGAAAATAAATACTACTGAGAGGCGGCTCCAGTCTTTTATGTCCTAAAAGCCTGCTTGCTTTATTCCCGCCTTCATGTTCTTCAATTAGACTCAATTAACAAGGGCGTGTTTAATCTATCCAAGAAAAAAAAGAAGGCCGTTGGGTTGTGTGTGGGGGGGGGGGGGGGGTCTGGGGCTGAGCTGAGAGCGCCACAGCGTGATATTAAACAAGGGATGAGACCCAAGATGCGACGTGGACGTGATGTGTACAGTTATGCAAATGTAATCAGATTTGAGTTTAGCGGTTTACATTTCGCTAATATATTCAAGATGAAATGAACCTAAAAAAGTTAAAATAATGAGCTGAGCGTCATGCCTGGATTATATAGTGCACACATTTTAGGTGATGCCTAATTAAGGGGGATTTTTTCCCCCGAATGGAATAAAAACATCTGGAAACTTGAATTCAAACCTCATGCAGATTTTAATGGAAACAAGTTCCTTTTTCAGTGACAGGTGCAAATTATATTTTTGTACATAAATATAAATAAAAGAAATTAATAACTAAATATCTAGCTCATTACAAACAATTGAACGCTTTTCTTTACAATTTTAAGGTACTTTTATATTCAAATTCTGTAATTTAGCTAACTTTTTGCATTATATCAAAGTTAAGAGTTAAACGTTTCATTTCCAGCTTTGCATACGACAAAACATGTGTAAAACTAAAAGAAACTTAACTTTAACAATATCTACACCAGTTTCATGTTTTAAATGTTTGTACCAGACATTTATTCATAGTTGCTGCCCGGACAGGGATCCAAACTGAATGGAAATTCAATATATTAAAAACAATGACGTAATTCGTTAACTATTTCACTCAGACGCTGCATTCCTGAGTTGTTCTCTGCAGAACTATACTTTCTATTAAATGGTTTTATTTTCACAGAAACTGTTGGGAAAACATTTTCTCTAAATGACTTATTAATAATTATTACACTTGGATGCAGACTATAAGGGAGTGGCTGCATACGTGTGTGTGAGGCCGCGCGTGACACAACTACCTTGTAAAACCCCTCCGGAGGAGGAGCAGCCAGAACGCGGTGATCAATACACATGATAGGGAGCTAATCGCTCTCTGTCAAACCAGGCCCTGCCAGCTACTAATGGAGCACACTCACTGGGGAACGTCTGTGTCCGTGTGTGTCTGTGTAGGCAGGGGCCGTAATGGCAGATTGAGACTCTTTAGGGAGTGTTGCTCAAGGTTAGACTCCGGGGACGAGGGGCAATTGACCACACTGTCTGTGACACTGACCCCTCCACTGTCAGCGCATTCATCATCCAGCTGTGACACATAGGCAGCACACACACACACACACACACACACACACACACACACACACAGAGATTAAGCACAGATAAAACCTCACTCACACAATGACATCACCAAACAGAAAGGTACGTTCTACAAACAGAACTTCTTTAAACGGCGCATGCAAAGTAACTGACTGATGAACAGGGTTTGATATCAGTAAAATGTAGACAAAGGCAGGATTAGAAAAATATAAACCTGATCTGAATTTTTAAAGGTTTTCCAACAGCGAAGAAGCAAAGAGCAACGGAACATGATTGAACGGCTGAAAGAGAACTGACAGGAGGCACAATGAGACAGTGAGGACAAGAAAGACAGTAAGATGGAGGGAGTAAAAGTGTGTGTGTTCACAGATACAGCTCCATAGGACAAAATTGATTGATTGAGGAAGGAGGTAAGAAACACAGAGTGAGATGTGGGTCTGTGTGTGTGTGTGATACTCCCATGTCTCTATATGAATGAGTGGATGGCAGGCGGCTGCAACCGTGTGATACGAGCAGAGCTGCACAGATATCAGCGCTGACATTTTGGGCTTCGCTACCCACTCACGGCCCCCCGGGAAACGGATGGCGATGGCGGCGGTGGACACTTGCCCCGCCCCCGCCCCCACCACCTCCCTCCGCCTGTCAGTCACAACGCTGCGCCTCCTGAGGCTCGGTCGGCCCTGGTTGCCCCCTTTGCTGGACCCACGATGCCACGCAGCAGCGAACACGCCACATGACCAACCATCACACAGACCCTGATGCACCGCTGATCCCTATCTGGACCTCCACCCCCCACCAACACCGCCCATCTACTCCCTGCCTCTTCATTCAACCTCCGATTCCGAGCTGCCAGGCTGATACCCGCTTACAGAGAGAGGGAGGAGGGGGGGGTTATGTGTGTGCTACCGCCCAATACAAGACGAACAGCGAAAACAACACTGAGGCGCGTAGAGGAGAAACGTGTGGGCTCCTCCAGCAGCGAGCAGCAAGGGCAGAGCGGGAGCGGCGAGCACACACACCGAGCGAGAGGACAAAGATGAAAGGGAGATACACTTTGGCCCCTCCTCTAGCCGTCTTTTAGGAAACCTTGCGCTCTCGCCCCCCCCGCCCCTTCCCTTCCCCGCGCCCTCTGGTGTGTTGCTCACTCCATTGTGTCAGCCTTCAGAAGTGCTCAGTTTGAGTGGCAGGCCGTCACAGATCAGTTCCCTGCTAAAGCGGCCCGGCAGGCCGGGGTGACGGGCCAGGAAGGGATCTAAGTGGGGTTTATCAGCGCTTCTTAACGCCTCTCCGGCTCCCTGACACAAAAGAGAGGGGGTATTAAACATCTAAAGCAAACCAAAAAGCGTGAAAGCTCCTTATAGGGCCGCGGGATTGCGGATGTGACTAGAGTTTTATTTTTATTTTTTTAAAGGAATGAAAAATAAGGAGGGGAAAAGCTCACAAATGCTTCAGCAGTAAGAATTCATTGGAGGGAAATGTATAGGTGAGAACGGTGAGAGAGAGACCATCTGTAAAACTAGCCGAGTGCTTTGTATCTCCACCTGTTTTCTAGAGGAGGCCGAGCGTATATGACAATATAGTACATTTAAAATTGAACATTACAAGGAGGGACCCAAGTAGAAGCAAAATACGTACTGATAGTACAAAGACAATACACTTTCAGTCTGGCCCCATTTTTTGTTTCAGAAGCATCGAGTCTCCTTCTCTGTAACAAACCTTCAAAACAAACAAAGCGGCTTCAGGACCGATCATCAAACAGTGAACAAAAGACCAGGTGTTGGATCGATAATAAAGGAACTGCACAGAGGCTTCCAAGCACTGCAAACCGAGCAAAGCAGTATGAACGCATTAAATATAATGATGCTGGTCCGTAAGCTAATTGGACAATACAGCAACTCTTCCTGCGGCAAAGCAAGGCAACTTTATTTGTGCGCAACATTTCAACAACAAGGCCAAAGTGCTTAACATAAAACCAGTAAAGATCAGATCATAAAGGCAAAATAAAAGGAAATAAAAGGAAATTTTAAAAATGGTTAAGAGCATGGATTGAAATATTAAAAAGCGACATTGAAACATTAAACCAGGCTAGAAATAGAATGAAAGTTGCAGTGCAAATTAAGACACACAACTAGTAGTAAAATTTAAGAGTGCAGGAAATACTTGAATCTGGTTCAATTAAAAGGCAGCCGCAAAGAGAAAAGTCTGTAATGAGCCACCGATGTGAGACGCCCTCCAGACAAGACGCGGACCCTTTTTCACTTTGTCATCGTGGGGAAGAAGCTCCCAATGGCATAAATGATGGCTGACATTTGTCCGTTTCACTTTCAGGCTCCTGCAGTGGTGCGTGCTGGTTTACCGTCACAGAGCCAGCTTTCATTTTATTAGGGACACCTGTATTTTTTTTCTTCTATGACAAGTCAAAACCTGCGCCAAAAAGATAGAATACTTTTTTGTGGAACAATTTGGAACTTTGCCACTGGATTTTAGTCAAGAACATCAAACCTAAGTGGTCCGCGTTGAGAGCCAGAGGGGCTACCGAGAGCCCCCGTTCCGCCTGTTGCTATACGTTAACCAGCCCTACTCTCTCCTTGTCCTCGAGGGGGGACATCCTCACGTGCAATAGATATAAATTTGTTCTATTGGCCCGGAGTTCTCAGTGCTAGGAGCCTCGCCAGCAGCTACGAGGCTCCTAGCGAGGCGCCGCTTCCACGAGGCTCCAGCTGAGACGAGCCGGACAGTCGTTAATAGGTAGACAACAACGAACAAACAAACAAGTCCAGAGGACTGGGACAGTGGTTGTCTGTGTGTGTCTACGGAGTACGTAGCGCACCAGCAGGGACCAGTGAGTGTGCGTCAGGAGCTGGCAGGGGGTTCGTATTGTAAAAGGTCAGCGAGTTCGGTCTGAGACATGTCTGGCTGTTTGAGAAGGAAAGCAATGGTTAGGGAGAGGGTCAATGTGGGGGAGGTAAACGAGACTTGTGGGGGTTTAATATCTCCGGTCGGAAACGAAGGGATTACATGGCGGGCCAAAACCTCCTCTGAGAAACCACTTTGGACCTCGGCTTGTGTGTCACCGTGTTGTGAGGACATAAATAGGTTTACGCGGTTGGAAATCGTCCTCCTTTTGGGGGACGAAATGCAAGTCCCGAGAACATGACTCCATTATAGTGGAATTATCTGGATCACGGTCAGTTCAATGCTAGGTTTAGATTAAATTAGGATCAGGCATGAAGCAGAACAACAAATCAATGCAATGTTGCAACCACAACTGTGTGTTTGTGTGTGCGTGCCAGAAGTAAACAATGCTTCCTTCTAAAGTGCAACTCTGCACAGATGAGCCTCAGTCCTATACAATAACTATAATAAGATTCATATTTACGAGCTTAACAGAAACGCTTTACGTTGTCATGGAAGTGAAGATACTGGAAGCTTCACGTTTATTGTGCAATGTTTCAAGACGTTGAACTTAAAACAGAGTAAACCTCATCTGCTGATCCAGTAAGTGGACTATGAGTACTTTCTCAGTCTGTGTATGAAACAGAATGCGGGAGCAACATTCTGTGAGGCCGGCTAGTTGAGGATGGAGCTGTATTGAACGTTAGCTATTGTTATACAAGTAAACTATCAATATTCTATTGAGGCATATTAGCATCATTAATGACATATCCTATTGGATTTTGGATGATTGTAGAAGAAAGTTAGTATATAACCAAACGAGAGTATACACAATACGGCTGTAAAAGGTGGACTGTCACACCTAAAATCTCTCTTGTTTTCGTAAACCACAACTCCACCACTCTTAAGGCCTGTGCTCTTCTGGAGGAAGCTGCCTGGAGCGAGTGGGAAGTGCCGTCCACGACTCCGTAGTAAAAGCTGACTTTTTGGCACTTTTCAGATCAGCCCTCAATTTCAAGTGCCGTCTTCAACTTCTCCATTCTCGTGGTTGTTGTTGTTGTTCTGTTCTCCTCGTTGCTTGCTTGCAAATACCATCAGCTCGCCCTCTGCTTCCAAACGGAAGCGGAGTATAATCTCCAATCACCGTTCCCGTTTGCTAACCCTGCTGGCTAATGAGACGATGAGAGATGCCTTAGATCAAGTACCCCTGCCCGTCTCTATTTTCCCTACTGTTGGAATAAAGGTAAATGAAGAATTGCTCAGCACACGCATGTGTATTTCAAAGTTGGAATAAAAATAGTTTTACAGCAAATCCACTACACGGAAGAATTTTTTCTGTACCTTCCTCTTGTGTTTGTTGGACAAAAACTATGCTTCCTGACGTTTCTTTACGGTTTCAGCGGATGAAACCTGGACGTCTGTCCAGATGTTCCAAAGAACTTCATTTTGCCCGTTAACTTTTAAAGAAAAGAAACAAACTTCACAAAGATCAATGAAAAAACAACTAAGGTCAGTTTACTTCCACTACATCCAACACATGGAAACACCATCTTCTTACGCTTTTGCTGCACAAGGAAGTCAAACTTCCATTTGGAACAAACCAAACTCCTCAGAAGAGCAGCACACACACACGCGTGCTACCTGGACTGTTACGTTACCCCGTTGTTGGTCCGAGGTGGGTGCATTACAACCAGGGACTTGCAGAACAGCAACTGTAGCCAACTCACAGTAATTACGTTTGGCATCACATAACCCATCGCAAATACATCTTCCATATATTCGTCCTAATATTGACTATTTTTGAAGAATAGAAAACGGACAGCGTTATTTTAAACAAACAAAAAGGCATTTCGGGATGCAGCCGTGCCTTTTAGGAGATGCAATGCCTAAGTGTGCAATTGTTCATTATCCTAAAACATTATTTGTGCAATCCATTCAATTTAAGACTCATTAGGAAATGCGGGACGTTTTCGGGGTGCAAATTCATTTTCACCTAAAGTTGAACGTAGAAAAGTAATTAAAGTCACAGTTTAATGAAATCATGAACCATACATGGAGTCACCGGAGACGCATAAATTACTTCAATTAATCACACGCACACTGATTCAGATAACTCCGACTCCCAAAGTTGGGAATATTCACTCTTTGTCCGTCCATTTCTCCGGCTGGCGTGTCTCGGCGCATGCAAGCGTGTCCTTCTGAGGGACTGAATGGGCTGCTGCTTTGTGCGCTTTTTGTTCGTGTGTGTCACTGCCTGCCCCCCCCCCCCTCCGGAGAACGGACGGGGCCAAAGCTGCATCCCTGACCCTTCTTCCCGGCCCTCCTCCCTCACCCTGTGCTGTCACGGGATGTCTCCGTGGATGACGGTTTCCATGGCAACGAAAGCCCCGCGAGCAGGCTGCATTGTGCCCTCCGAGGGGGACCCAGAGCGGCTTGTTGAGGGCGGAGGGTGGGGGGGGCATAAAGTGATATTGGATGGAACAGGCACAGGGGCTACACGATGAAGGTAAACAACTTTTAGCCATTACTCACCACATGGCTCTGGGTTTTTTGTTTTTCATCCTTCACGCTAATCAACACCAGGCCCTGATTAAAACAGCAACGCCAGCTAAATGAACTTCCATTTGCATATACATGCTGTGTGAAATCAGAACCGATGCCAGAGTGTGAATTCACCTTGACGTGGCCGTGTTAAATGTATCAAACAGTCACGTCTAAGTAGCTGAACGCTCTGATTTGCTGTAGTTACAAATCCATTTCCCGCTGCGTTACACAGACAGTGCGAGTCGGGCCAAGAAAAAAAAAAAACAACAACAACAACATTTCAGCGGCTTGTTTTGGGAGACCTGCGGCTCGATGCCGTCTTCAGATCCTGAAGTGCGGTGGGGATTTTATTTAGAGGTGTATCTGATGGAACACTTACCCCTTCTGCTGTAGAAAGTGTGCTCTCAAAGGCGGCTCTGTCACGGCGCCCCCTGCTGTCTCTGAGTGTGTACACATCCTGCAGGCTGCCAACCTGTCGGCATAGAAACATGCGTCATGGTCGGGATATAAAACCATTGAATGGTTTACAGAACAGAGGCTTTGCTCAGTCAAGCACCTTTTATACAAGAAACTGTCAAAATAATGTGCCCTCGTAAACTTGCATGCATGAGAAATCATGAAAAAGGCTTTTCATGGTTACAGAGAGAGCCGCGTGTTTGGTGTGAGGGTCCAAAGCCGTAACGCATTCAGCCTTAATCACCCACATGACCCTTTGCACAACATGATATCGGCGTATCCCCTCCGGCCATCTGTCTTGTGTGGGTTTTCCTGTTGGATGTGGGCCGAAATCAAATCGCACACAGTTTATCTAACCTTATCCTGGGCTTTTCATTTCCAAGCCTTATAAACTGAAATCGTATTGACCGCCTGGGAGAGTTAGAACTAACTAAGTGAAATCTACTCAGCGGCAGTTGTGTGCCCGACGCACAATGTGTGTTTGTGTGCGTTTGTGCATGTGTGTCTGTGTGTCTGGCTGATACTATCTCCCTTCACATTCATTCTCTCTATTCTCGGTCCCTGAGGTGCATCAGGGCTGAGACTGCAGAGTAAATTGTCCCAAATTGAGTTCCTTCTTGCCGGCAGATACAGGCCACATCCCGACCGTTTAGATCGAGAGAGGCAGAGAGAAAGCAGGAGAGAGAGAAAACAATCACAGCACACATCACCCGCTTGACAAATTTCACTCTAATTTCTCTCTTTGCCTTTCCCTTCCACCGGTCCTCCCCGTAACTACCCCCCCTCCACCCCTCCCCTTCACCCCCCTCCTCTGTTGATTTCCCTGCTGCCCCTCGTTCTTCCGTCGGTGCATTATTCTTCTGCTTCTTCCTCGGTGCGTCTTCCCTCGTCTTTGTCTGCTTTCCCCGTTCCCTGATGATTCCCTGACCTCCTGCTTGTTCTTATTCCTCCTTCTTCTTCCTTTTCCGTCCGTTTGCCCTCGGCCCCCTTTTCCGCCTCACTCCCACCAAGCAAACTGGTCTCCCTCCCCGGCGTTACCTTCGTTCGCTCTCCCTGTCCCTCCCTCCTGCTGTACCCGGTGACATGGTGGCCATCAGCGCAGGCCCCCCCACTCTCCGCCCGCCCCCCCCTCCGCCTCTGACAATAATCACACAGTAAGTTTTTAACGCTGGCAGCCCAGCTGAGCTGAACTGAGCACACACGCGCCTCCCCCCCGACGCCGATCCACTCCATTTAACTCAGCAGGGGAGCGGCAGCGTCAAAGCCTGTGACAGCAACGGGGACGCCATCGGGTTTTTGGGAAGGGGGGGGGGTGTTAATGGAGGGCTGGCGATGGAGCAGTAGCTGGAGACAGATATGGAAATGGGATGAGGAAGGGTGGCTGCAGCTGAAACTGTTGCTGCAGGGCATGAAGGGGAGGGGGGGGTACGGTGCAGACTTTAGGTTTCGGACTTTTGGGTTTGGGCAGGAGGGGCTGTTTTTTCATTTTGAAAGAAGTCCCTATGCGCATGATTTTTTTTTTACTTTTACAGGCAGCAGGATGACAAAGTACTGATCCACTGCCAAAGTATGTTAGATATACAAGGAATTTGACATGGCAGTTGATTAGATGAGTTAGTTAAAAGTTAAGGCCTTTATAAAACAAGATAAGTGACCTTTGAGCTCAGAGGGGAAAAAAACAAATTCCCTCACAGAATCAGTTATGGGACACTGTAATATGTATTTTATATTACTTCCAATCATTCTCACAGTTGCATAGGGACAAATACAATTGTAGTACTGATTTTTTAGCTTAAAAAAAAACTATAATTTGCTAAGATGCTCAGGGTGAGACTGATGTGCATTTGTCCCAATCCCTTCTGCGCAGGACGTTCTGTTCAGTATGCAACCTCCTTGACGTCACCTGTGGCTTAGTTTGTGTTGTCTTCTCATGAGACGCATGTACAGTTGTAGACTAAGCCTCTGATAGTGGTTGAGGTTTTGTTGCCTGGATAATAGCAATTTAGGTGATGATAAACAGACAACAATTATATAGCGCTTATGCCTAAACCTCTTTACAATGCTAAGTGGGTAACCATGCACGGCATCGGGCGGCAGTGGACAGAATTTAGGGCCAACCCAGTGATTAGTGGACGACCCGCTCCATGCTGAGCCACGGCAGCATCTTGTCTCCTCACTTTGAAAAGTTATTTTTGCTGAGGAAGGTTCCCAACTGAGAGAAAAGACCCGGAGGTATTTAAGTGGGCGCCATGGCAAGAGCTGTTCTCTAGTTCTCTGATGCTAAGAAAGTAGCGTCAATTGTTCCTTATTTAGCTTCTTTAGCATACGAACCACTGGACCTTCCTTTTCAAAAAGGAAAGGAGATTATTCCGTCCCACATTTCCTTGCGGCGGCAGTATTTGAATAGCAACGTATCCTTCGGCCGTTCACGACGAGGGCCGAGAAACGAATGAGACACTTAGGTACCTTTGCACTGATATTGATATTGATTGATATTCCTTGGTTTCACTTTTTGTCACTAACATGACAACTACGTAGCTTAGTGATAGTGGAGTCAGATTCCCTAAACACCGCGGTTGTCTTCTCCTAACTCCTCATGAATTCCTAACCACCTTCACTTGATGGAAAGTGGTTAGGAGGTCATTTTCGGCACTATTGGAATCCAGCCCACTTCTCACCCTGACCCGTTTCTATAGGAACGATTTCCTCTTTCTTCTGCAGAAAGACACATCCTAGCGGAGTCCGTCACTGTCAATTTCCCATTCACTCCCGCCGAACGGAGGTGTAAATCTAGGGCGGGATATCTCAAGACAAATGCAAACGAGCAAATAATTGGCGAGGCAGCTGAGCGAGAAGATGTGTTGTTTGTCGTTTGTGTGAGTCAACCCTTTACAACTGTGCAAGCAGTCAGTGGCCCATTGACACGGAGAAGCACTTCCTGCGCAACGTGACACTTTGACAACTTTACAGTGTTGACACTGGATGCACATAACGCACACATGTACACACCCCCAAAGTATAACTGTACATGAAAATGAGGAACCATTTCCATCTGAAACAAAAACGCACACACACTTAAAAACGCACCAATTCAAAATCACACACACACACACACACACCGTATGCCCTGCCAGAGCAGGTTCACAGCAAAACAATATGAGGCCAATCAGGGGACGGTTGGTGTGGCTCTCCCTCTGCTAATGAAGGCACTTTGAAAAGGTAATCTAATTCACCAGTAGCAATTAAGGCTGCGAGCGCCTTGTCACTATCAATTATCCGCTCCTTCGCTCATGTTCTCCGGTGTGGACGCCGGGCCTCACTGACACACAGCACTGTCGGACAAATCAAGCCCATCAGCCAGCCAGTCAGTAAGAAGAGGTTTCAGACACACTCACAGAGATAGATAGATACTGTATGCTTGAGTCATTGCACAGTGAGCTAAGTAAGCTTGACGGGAATCGGGGCGTCCAAGCCGTCTGCAGTCACAGGTGGATCTATTACACAGCGGATCCATAAACAGCGCGGGTGATGGATCTTAGATACGGACGCTGTGGGGGGCACGACGGATTCATCAGATATTGGTTATTTATCAGGACTCTTGCTAGAGTGACACGTGATGTTTTGAATGCCAGGGCCCCGGACTGTTGACATTTACCTCCATCGTGCTGCCGCGGCCCCAACTGTAGAATTAAAACCACCTGTGCATCGTGCTCCATTCGGGTCTCGATGCGTTCGTTAAAACAATGGAGGGAAATGATGTCATAAGACTTGTCGACGTGCCAACCGGTTATAAGAAATCATATATACATTACAAGTCAAAGGTTTGGACACACTTTCTAATTCAATTCATCGAGAAAGTGTGTCAATCATATTACACACACACACACACACACACACACACACACACAGTGAGAGTGTGGCATTTTTTGAAAATCCAAAAATAATTAACATAAACAGACAATCTGCGTTGATTTTCTTAATTTAACACAAGTGACGAGTTAAATAGTTTTAATAATTACATGAAAAAAATAGTTTGTGTCCTGTGGCAGAAATTTGCTTCCAAAGTGCTGATCGGAATAAACTCCCACATTTTACCTGTTCATTATTGGCTGTAATGCAGGGATCTAAGTCAACTACTTGAAAGTCCTTTAGAGGTTCTTTTCAAAAGCAAGAAGCGAAGGCCGAATCCGCGACACTGACATTGGAGACCGCGCACCACGGCCTGTGGCCCTCGTCTCGGACTAAGGACAACATCTCATATCAACTAGACCTTCGGAATCCAGACAGAGATATGAGCCGACAGACGGGTCTATTGAAACGGCTCTTCTCGGGCTCCTGATTGCTTAACTGAATCTCTCCAACGAATGACCTCGGTCCGAGGCGCTGGTGAAGAGGGGATTAGCATAACAGTGCTGCTGTAAGGAGAGCGCGGCGCCGCTTTCAGAGGACGACACGTGGGAGCTTGACTACGTCGCTGCAGGAAATCAAACTTACTGCCATCGGAAATGGAAATTCAATCGGAGACGGTGTTGTTTAAGTGTCATTTCAAGTTCTACGCCATCATTAACAACTATTGTGTGCTCAAGCAATCATTTAGCTATTATCTTGATTGAAGAGAAAGTATGTTTTAAGAAAAGGAGACAGCTTTGGGGATTAAATAAAACACTAGATTGTCAAATCAAACGCACTCTCACGTAAGGATTTGGTAGCTTAAAGTTCCATAAATGTCTCCATTCACAGGCAAAACACAGAAAAGATGAGAGGAACAAAAGACAACATTAGCTGAACACAAGGCTCCCGGGATGCAACATATGGACCCCACTGTTTCCACGGGAGGAAATCCAAACCAGAATTTACAGAACCGACTTTGTCTGCGCAGATTGAGAAGTCCCGTGTAACCGAAAGAGGACGAAAACAGTTTGCTTCCCGGTGGGAGGAATCATACATTGAATCTATTTACATCGAGCGCGTCTGCAGAGGGTTATTTGAGTTCATGCGTGAGATGAGCTGTGAAAG